CTGGTCGGTGTGCTTCAATGATGAATATAAATGATACAAGCAAGGGTCCAAGAAAAAGAGTTTGCTTTAATGATGCAAACAACAAGGTTTTACTATTCAAATCAACTCCTAATTTGGCAGATTGGAAGAAGAAAGATAACAAATTAAAACTGAAAAAACTGAATCGTCAGTTCTCAGTAAGTGGTAGTGTAAGTAACATAGAAGAAGAAAAAAGCAGTGCAGTATCTAGCGGTGATGAAGCCTTCTTGAACAGGAAATCAAATGATGGATCTCCAAAAGCCTCTGTTGAGCAAGCTAAAGATACGCTTACACCAGAAATTGCCATTGAAAGGGCCAGTAGTCTTTCAGACCAAAGTCCTGGTGTTGATTTTACAAATAATGTTCTCGATAATATAATCAAGAAACAGGAATGCGAGAATCTAATACCTGCTAAACCTGATCTATCTATACAAGATAATTATAATTGCTCCTCAACTGAACTGGATAAGAAATTTTTAAAGGAAGCTGTTGAAAGGGCACTAGCTAATAAGCAAAATAAAGGACACAGAAGATATGGTAGTGATTCCAAGTATATGAGTGATAGTGATGACACAGATACGAAAAGTAGTAGTGAGGACACTGGAAAGAAGGCTAGTAAACAAAAGGTAAATAGAACAAACAGTAACTCCCCAGTTACATCTCCCACTAAACACGACCATGCACCATTTAAGCAAACTGGTATCAAGGAAAGGAAGGCAAAATTTAAAGGACAGAAGCTACATATTTCTTCAGGTCCCCCTAAGATTGATTACAAAAGACTTCAGAGTCCTTCAAGTAGCAGTCCTGAGAGAAGATATGGAGACATAGACAGCCCACTAAGTGATGCCACTCCTAAACACATTATGGTAAAAAGCCCACTTTCTATGGTACCTGTAATTATAAATGATGATAATATCCAAACAAACAGTTCCAATAGCTATGGCGATGATTTAAATCTTCAAAGAACAGATGTTTTGAATTCAGCTGAGAATCACATTAAGCCAGTTGCACCAAATTCAGCATCAGAGTCAATGGAGAAAACTTCACCTGATAGTCAGCCAGGTTTGTCAGTTTCATGTTCAGTTAAAAGAAGAGGATCAACTTCTTCAACCAGCAGCATACCGGAGAGCCCTTTATTCAATCCTCGGATGATGTCTCTCAGTCCAACTACAGCTCTTAACACCAGTACTCCAAATCCAGATATTGATATTATATCCAAGTCACCTCTCATTGGAGGAGTGTTTGACTACACATCATCTGAAGATGATGATGGTGAGCCATCAGTTCTCCAGCCATCAACTAGTTTGGGAAAATTATTTGAGCAGCTTGATGGACTGACAAGTAATCTTGGTGAAGAAGACATCAACATTCATATGGAGCAGATTGAAAAATGTAAGAGTCAAACTGAAATTGCAGCCTATCTTAAAAGGTTCACATCCTATGCTAGTGTTGGTGATATATCTAAGTACTTGAAACAAGTCAGTACCGAAAATCTATCTCTTGATAAAGCAGAAATTAAAGATAAAGACGAGAGGGATAGAAGAATGAGTTTGGATTTGTGTGCAGCTAAAGAACAGGCTGTTAAGCCAATGCAAAGTGGCAGTATTCCTGATTTAACATCTCAATTAAAAGAAGTTAATTCTAAACTTGAGGAATTGAGGGAGAGAAGAGCATCATATGGAATTCTCCGAAAACCATCAATTGGAGGAAGTACTTCTGAACTTCAGTCAGAACAGTCTGATTTAGATGAGCTTAAGGTTGTGAAACTACGGTCTAGGAAAAGAAGGAATAGTAAAGATGGCTTATGTAGTCATAACAATTCTGCTGCTGGAAAGCAAGCTCATGGTCACCAAGCTGCCGGACAAAGTACTAGAGGAAACAGTGTGGAGGAAAGAAGACATAGCTTAACAGGCGCTGATAAGTCTATTGGTGACTTTAATGAGGAAAGGAATGTAACAGCTCGGTCAAAATATATTCAAAAGAAATCAAGAGAAAACTCTTTAGAAGTTGAAACAGATAAACATCCTAGGAGAGAAAAGAGTCCACAACGGACAATCCATGTCAATGAGGACAATCGTGAAAGCTTTTTAGAGATGTGTAAGAACAGGTATTCAAAGAGTATGCTTGACTTGTCTGATGGAGAGCTATTAGAAAAGGCGATTTCTGGTGAATCAGCTGATGATACAATACCTTTTGACAAGAGACAAGAGGCACTTAATTGTTTAAAGCAAAACAAAAAATTGTCAAGTGATGATAAACCACAACAAGATCATTCCCATGACAAAAATATCACCCGTACAATCCATATATCAACTAAAGATCGGGAGAATTTCCTGGAAATGTGTAAAAACAAGTATTCTAAAAGCATGTTAGAGATATCCTCAGGTCCTGATAAATCACCCTTTTCTGATGAGTCATCACCAGAGGATGTTGCTAACATACCATTTGACAAAAGACAATGTATAGCAGACACTGTGTCAACAATAGGTATTACAAAACCAAAACATCAAAACATCAACCGTACAGTTCACATATCATCCAATGATAGAGAATCTTTTCTTGAAAAATGTAAGCAAAGCTATTCAAAAAGTATGCTTGACATATCTGGTAAACAACCATTGTTAGATTCCACAGACAGTAAAACTACTAATAAAGTTCCATCAGATGAAAAGATAGGTACTGATTCAGAAGAAAAAAATACTTCAAATGAAGAAGAACAACCAGAAGTGAAAAGAAGAGCAAGTCGCACTATCCATATTTCTGATAAAGACCGTGCAAACTTCTTAGAGCTGTGCAAGGCCAGCTATTCTAAAAGTATGTTAGATATATCTCCAGATAAACAGATGAGTGCTAAAGATGACCCCAAAGATGCAGATGAATCATTGATCTCAGATAGAGAAATAAGTTCTCCAGGTCCTGAAAAAGATGGGTATGATATACAGGACACATATAAAGATGATCTTTCGGAGGGCAGGAATCCTTTTGATACGTCTGATAGATCAAAAGGTGTTGACAGTGATAGTGACAACTGTATGGATATTGACCCATTAGCAGGAAGTATACAGGATATAGAATACACCAGCTCAACAGATGAAGAAAGAGATAAAGAATATATGAATGAAAAGGCAAATGTTGACAATAATTGTGCAGCTGAAGATGAATCAATTGCAAGAGGTGTATGTGGGCAAGCTGTCAGATTTAGTAAAGTAGAATCTGTTGAGGAGGCTCCAAAGCTAAAAAGCATTTTGAGACGAACCACAAGTATGGCTACCTTAAAGAACCTTGATGACATAATAGAGAGTCAAAGTGACGCTCCTGCTCCATTGTCAAAGTACAAGAAGGCAATGAGCATGTATAGTTTAGACCAAAAGGGTGTGACAAATGCCCCAGTCAAAATTCCAAAACATCTTCCTGGCAAAGCAACACCTTTCCCCAGCACCCTTACTCTTGCAAAATATGACAGTGAAGATGATGATGAAGAGGATGATGAAGGCTCAATTATTATCAATCATTGTGAGGAGAGTAGTGATGGTTATGAATACATAGAAAATCCTATGAATAAAGAGAATCTAAGTAGTAACAGTAGTTATATGGGTGAAGAGGATGATATGTACAGTTTAGATGGTGTAAACTGGTTCCCAAAAAACAAGAAATTGAATGAAGAAAAGCATGTTGATGGTGATTTATCAGAACAGTTAACACATAAACTGTCACTTCTTGTAGCTAATGAAGATAATAAAAAGTCAAATTCCAGTAGGAATATATTATCATTGAGGATTGGTAATAAAGATGGTGATAACAAGAATAGTATACATTTGCCTACACCCAATATACATCCAGATAATTTCAACTTAATGCAGGCAAAACATGTAAACACTGTTGATATGGACGAACTGCAAGGAAAGATGCTAGAGTGTCGGACAACATCACGTGATCATAGTTCTGATGAAATAGAGCAGCCTGAGTACCTTGACTTACTGCCAGAAAGTCCAATTGTGCCAGTTACAGAGATGTGTCTAGGTGACCTACTTGTAGATAAGAAGCAGTTTCTTTATGACAACCAATATGAAGATATTGATGTTGGAACTGTTGATAGAAGTAATGTCCCAGCTAATGATAGTCATGTCTCTCCAGTTTACAAGACTACTGTTGTTCCAGCTGATCATCATGCTGTTACATGTCCCTCTGTCACAAGAAGGAAAAGTGGATCTTTAGATAATCTCAACCCATTACTTGATGATGAATATGTGCCAACCCCAGAAGAATTCAAACGATCAGTGTTTGAGCTCAAATCACAGCTTGATGGATTTAAACAGACTGAAGAAGACACTGAATGTTTACAACCTGATGTTGGTGATGAAGAACCTGATGATTCAATCACACCAAATGAGTCAAATGTAGATAAAAGAGGATCTTTAGGTTCTACTAGTAGAGCATCTAGCCAGCATAGTATCTATGAGATAGACGAGAATGAAGATGATGGTGAATATGATTATGTGTACCAAGGTCAAGATGATGAAACAGGGCACCATGTATATTTGTCATTAGGAAGAGGGGCTCCAGAGGGTGAATTCATCTTTCTTGATGATTGTGAGATGCAAGAAGTTTGTGAAAATGTTGAAAGAGGCATGCCGATTGATTTGCAAAGGTATAAAGAGAAACCAAATACAGATGGTGAAGATGAATCACTCACAGATGGTGACAATGAACTGAATACAAATGGTGAAGATAAACCCAAGCCTGTTGATTATGATAAGTCTATTGCTGTTAATCTTAGTTGGTCCTCCCCATACTTTGATGAGAATCAGATATGTGATGATGGTCCGAATAGTCATGGATCAAGACTATCTTTGAGAAATGACCCACTTGATATCCTACAAGAAGAGGATGAGTGCATGAGCAGCAGTGAAATGGACCGTCAGATGGAATCTAAAGATAGTTTTTCACAGCAGCTAAAAGCACCAGAAGAATTGACTACAAATACTTGTAAAAAGATAACACCATCACGAGAAGAAAATCTTGACAAAGGTGCAAAGATATCTAGAAATGATCTTAACATAAATGATAGAGTTGAAACGATTGGTGATAACAAAATTGATGTATTAAAAGATGTTGAAATAAAAATTTGCTGTGAAGATGAATCGATAAACATTGAGGAATGTGACATTGAAGAACTGGTACACGCCAATATGGTGTCAATAGATGATTTCTGCAAACAGCATCAGCATGAACAGATTGAAACAGATACTGACAACACTTCAAGTGATGATAATGACTATGAAACACTTCATGCATTTACATCCAAGAAATCTGACATTGAAGATTATGACAATTTTGACATGTATCAACCAGTGTCACCCACCAAGGTAACTCTGACTCCTTACGGAAACAATGAAAACTATGAACCTCAGTATGTGGATTTAGAGTTCCACACCAATACAGTTTCAATAGAACAAAGTGAGCAACATTCAGAAATCGTTGATGATGACATAGCAGGTAGTATTAACCCAATAGATGAATTTGAGAACTCTGCAAATGAGTACATTAATCTTTTATCATATCAAGAGGAGGATCCTGGTGACCTTATTATGGATTGGGACTATGACTTTGAAGGTGCTGATGATAACACAGTTGCTTTACAGACAGACCTTGACTCTGGGTACGTTGGTGAAGCCATTGAACATTATAAGGCATGTTTACTGAATCATGATTCAAACGACCTCAGTTGTGAGTCCATACATGTCCAGTCTGACTTCATACCTTTAGTAGACAAATCAGCTCAAACTAATGGTAAACAAACCAGCATATTGTCACCACACAGAAACAGATCCCCTGTAGATTCCTTTGCAAAAAACAATGAAAGAGATGTTGAAACTAACTGTGTACATCTTGGTTCGAAGGTTGATGACTCTCTCCAAGGAGTGATCCAAAGCCTTGAGAAACTCTGTCAGAATATGTCTGTTAGCACTGATGATACAGATGATGAAAAAGAGGCTCCCATGGTGCGACCAAACAGATTGCGATCACTTAGCAACTCCAGTCGAACCTCGAGACGATCAAGTTCAAATTCAACAAAAAACCAGGATAATTCACACCGAATCTTGGCAGATATATTGAAGTACATGAAAAAGAGGTTAGATGAGGAAGCTATTAAGTCAGCTGTATCAGAACATGTTGTTGAATCTGATGGTGCATCGACTGAGAGCAACTGGCCACATGACTCTGAAGCTACATCCATAGATGAGGGAGGTGAAGAAGATGGTCTTTTTTCATTTGATGAGCTGACTATACCAGAGACAGCTGGTCTGGCACACTCTTGCATGAATCTTGGCTCTGTAATTATGCATTCAAAGAAAAACAATAGCTCAGTTGGAGGGAAACCAAAGAAGCCTAGACCAGTGAAACCTGTGGTTATAAGTGGAAAACCTGTAGAGAGAAACAAGGTTGAGACACTAAAGTTTAATCAAAAGTTTGAGGATCTGAGGGACCACCACCCAGAGGAAGGACAGGGAATTGTATCTGGAGCTGATATGAGAGCATGTGAAATGGAGGATAATGCACATGTTGATATTAGGGATCACAATCCAGAAGCTGCAACAACTGTTACTGCATCATTCAGCATCACAAAGCATCACAAAGACACAACTCCTAACAGAACAACTGTCCCTGGATCTAAAGTTGGACGTCAGCGCACTTTGACTGCTTATCCTGAAGGAGTCCTTGAAGAGAAAGGACCTTTGGGGAAGGCATTGAATGATTCACTTGTTGAAGTGCATAAGATATCCAGAGCTTTATCCCAAGACTGTGTCCATAATGTAGAGCAGCCAGTTATTACAAGGTACATGTAATGATGCATGGAGCATGGGGCATTGAATGCATACCTTATTATGATACACAGGTCAAGATATCCTGCTATATGATTATATGTACAATGGATATTACATGGATGAGAATTATTTTTCAGTAAGAAGGATTCTGGCAGTATTTGGAATTGTTCTTTTGACCAAGATTCTTTATATTGTTATGTTCCTTCTTGTGTAATGTTGGGTCTGTTAGTTGGGTATATACAGAATATATTTAGAGGTTATGTCACTATGACGTGAAATATGCCTGAGTTCTCCCAATATAGGCCGACCTTGGGAGGCTCTATATTTGGGCAAGAACGAAGGCATATTTCACGTCATAGTGACATAACTGATGTATTACATGCCTTTGTTCCCATGGTTACTTTGTATCAATGACGTGACGTCATGATATTATCATGGTTATTAAAGAAATCTAATATCAAAACGAGGTAAGCGGGCTATATCGGGGTAATCGGGCAATATCGGTGGATATAGCTCGCTAACTTTCCCATTGACTTCCATACAAATGCTTCGCTAGGTATGTAATACACATGGGTATATGCATGTAAATATGAGATTTTGTGATATTAGGTGCTTCCAATATTACCATGATTCATGGAGTTGACATAGTGCGAGAATGACAACTATTTGGACAACTGAAGTAGCAGATTGCATCATTTCCTATTACCTCATGTAACATGTATGATACTAGCTAATACAGGCTACTTATCTAATTAATGCTATTTTTGTTCCAATTAAGTTTACGAATCTCTGATAGAAAAAGATGCTATTTCATTGAAGGATGTATGCTCAGTCATTTATACCATGTTGAAAATGTTGCAGGGGTTGTTGATTCTATGACATTTGTATTGTTGGATGGGTCTGAGTTGCAGATTGTTTCAAAAGTGTTGTCTCTAGCCATTTTGATTTTATTAAAACTGGAATTATCCAATATTACAAACATATCTGAAAATATTACAGGGTAGAATAAAAAAGTATTGAATTCAGCCAGTTCAACTGTTAAATGCACTTTAGGTTTTTCCCCATACTTTGACCAGCTTTAAATCATCCCTTGTTTGTATTCATATCTCATATCAATTAAGTTATCATAACATTTAAATTATAAGCTATAAAAATAACTTTGGAAAATTTTGATAAGAATATTTATTTTACCTTTAAAAATTGAATTTTGTTTTTTGTCATTTTAGTTCAATGGCGTGTGTTCATTTAATTCCTTGAATGATGTTCCATCCTGTCACATTTTCTCTAAACTTTTTTGTGAAATTACAAGAATATTTTTTGTAAGGTCCAGGAAGGGAAAGTACCATCATGACATGTTTTGCATTTTTTGCAAGGATTAGTAGAGTCCAGTGTCACCGTGGCAGCTGTTGGGTTAAGCTGTATTTAGAAATTATTACGAATTAACATTAAATGTTCATTAGATTAATAAGTGGTTAGTGGAGCTTGGATAACATTAACACTATGAGGTTTGTTTCAAAAATAAATTAAAAGAGAAATATTTACAGGATATATTACAAGATTTAGTCATACAATAGTTATAATGAATACAATATATGTGAACCACATTAATAGATTAAGATGATTTTCTTTCCATCATGAAAGAGATTATATAAAATAATATGATCCAACACATACATGCATGTATGTTTACCATAAAATTAGGTATTGTGCCCATATGTCAATAGATGTGGAATGACAATGTTAATTCTTAGGAAGGAGGGTTGAAATTATGATATTGACAGTGAAGAATGGTAATTTTTTGAAACATTATATGGTGGCAGGGGTCGTTTCAAAGACACAATTCTCTATTACAAAATATATATGAAAAGTTTATGAAGAGTAAATTCATCAGCTAGGAGTCAGTTGTTAAGTTGGTTCCTTTGGAATAATAATATGTGATTAATTTTATATTTTCAGAAAGCACAGTAGCCAAAGCAGATCCTCTAGTTGCACAGATGTGTCACTAAGCCCCAGTGGGACCTGGTCTAGGAGGCCCTCCTCTGTAGATGCTAGACCAATCACCAATACCCGCCTCAGGAAATCTCTCTCAAGTGCAAGTGGAAGGTACCTTGGTACCAAGATTCCTAGTCAGGTAAGAGACACCACATCTGGGTTATTATAATAGTAACAAATATAGATGTTATCATCTAACATCTTTGAAATATTCATAACTATTACAGGCCTGTAGCCAGCTTTTGCCAAGGGGGTTCACTTTTTCCCAAAATCTTGTAAAGTGCTCAGAATGGTGAAAAACTCCATGATTTTGAAAGAATTTTTGGCCAGGGGGATATTCGCTCTTAGCCCTAATCCCACCCCCATGGATGTATTAGAAGAACTCTATTAAATGTTTATTGTGTGATTAGTCTAGATATAAAGTTCTATCATAGACAATACGCGAGTTGATATAAAAATATTTATTAATATATATTGAATGTTGTTATCAATTGCCCAAAAGATATTCTGGTCCTTTATTGCCAAAAATGCCATGAAAATATTTTTCATATGTATACTGGATAATAGAAATACTAATAACTATGTAATATGCTTGTATTTCAGGACCAGAAAATTCTGGAGCTAATGATGAACAAAAGAGAGGAAGAGAAAAGATTTTATGAAGAAAGAGAAAATGCAAAACTTGAATGGGAAGAACGTAAAAGATCTGAGATTGAGTCTAAGAAAGATTTAGAAAACAAAAGGCGGAAGTCCCTACAACAGATAAGAGAACTAAAGGAACAAAACAAGGTAAATATAAATGTACATTTCCTTCATTTGAATTATATTATAGGCTGGGCCAAAAATATTAAATAATCGTGCATCATAGGTAACATTTTTTCTCGACCCTGTATATAAGACATCCGCCAACTGTCTGTTTTTTAGAATTTTCTCTTTTACTCTAAAATGGCCAAAACACATTTCAAAATGCATGAAAATATTCAGATTTAAAATTTAAGATAGTCAGATATTTATTACCAAATTGGTTACTAAACAATTTATTGTATTGGCCTCATATATTGATAGGTTAATCAAGTCAATATGTTTTTTATGTCTGATACTCGGGTTAATTATTATTACAGTGTGATAGTAAGGGTTATAAAGTATTTGAAAATTGAGCAAGTCAACCTGTAATTATTTCTGTCACTTGGATTTGTCAATAAGAGTACATAGGCATATCCAGGCATTCGGCAAACAGGGTAACTGTCTCCCCAAAAGTTTACTGGAATTAATTTTTTCAGACATGAATGAAGTCCAAATGTAGTTAGATACCTCTACCTCCTTTAACCTAATCATCTCACCTGTTAATGATGCCTCATTTCACCTTTCAGTTATAAGTTATAAACATTTCCAAGATAAAAAACCCAAAACTCAGGTCCTAGATTTAGTTATATTTAATCTCTGTAATGTTAAATGAAATTTCTGCTTCACATACCCATATATTTCATACGAATATTTCATTTTTGTCTTCATTGAGTCAACAAAATCAGGAGAAACTGTTTCATTTTTTAATTTGTTTAAACCTGTATTAAGGTTAATAACTAAACCAGCTTGAATCTCAGAAAATCCTGCAAAGAATTCAGGTAAAAGTTTCTCTAGCGCTTCAAGTGTATATGTAAATTCCTCTGTTAATCCTACAAGTACATGTTCATCAATGTGTTTCTTTGCAGTAGTCATTGCAAAGTCTTTATCAGTCAAACATCTTGAATCCTGACCACAAAACCACTCCACATAGAACATAGGGTTTGCGTCACATAAGCCCAGGTCTCTCATGTTTTCCAAACTTTCAGAAATGCAGTCCTCGAAAGTTTGATTTTTTTGAAAGGCGCTATACTGTCTCATCCTTTTAGTATCTTTCTTTAATCTGTTATGGTAATAGTGGGATCGAGCTCTTTCGACTGGATCTCTTATGATGTTAAAATACAGTGGCTGTCCTATACCAAACATGGTAAAATCAATATAGTGTATATGCCTATCATATACAAATTTATCACAGGGATACATTCTGTGGACTTTATCTTTGATTGATTTGATGAATTTTTCTAGTTTTTGTGTATCCAGTCGCCAGTGATTATACTCAGTTGATCTCTTGTAGAAGAATATATTTTTCTTGGAAAGATGTTTAAGAAAGTAGTCCATGGTTGTTGAACCACATTTTGGCACTCTGTTATACATAATCAATGTTGTATTTGTTTCCAAATCTGTGATATTTCTGTGATTATGTTCGCCCATAGTGTCAGGAGATATTTCACAAATAGATAGTACAGGGGGAAGTGAAGGCTTATAACGAACTGCTGTAGGTTTTGACACTTCAGTTGTGGCAATAGTATCTTCTTGAGACACTGTGATGTATTCCTTCTTTGTGCCATCTAATTCTTTTTGTGCTACATCTAATCCCTGGAGCATATATGATACCTCCTTTGTGACATCTAATCTTTCATGCGTGACATCTGTTCCCTCTTGTGTGACAGCTTTTGTCTCTTGCCTCTCATTTGTTCCCTCTTTTGTGACAATTGTTTTCCTATTACCCATATCCCAGGGAAGTGATGATTTCAGTGTTTCCTTGCGCATTTGTTTATTGCAATTTATTCTCTTTAATATGTACATGTAGATGCTGGAATATATTATCAATGCCAAGGCAACCAAATATACACATTTGGTATGCATTGTTTTCTTCAGTTATCCAACATGGGAGGTGTATTCATTTGTTGTTAGGTGCAGTAATGCTATATTCAAACATTATTGTTGCTTTCTCTTGAACATATTCCCAGTCTGATTTATTATGATTAAGCCAATGATCCCTGGGGCTTATGGCCATTAGAAGAGTTAAACTCATTTTTAATCTACCATAATAGATAACTGTGAACAAAATAATGGGCTACTATGCCTTTGTATTGGTTGCTATAAACCTGATAATGGGTTACTATATGGACCTGATAATGGGTTACTATATGGACCTGATAATGGGTTACTATATGGACCTGATAATGGGTTACCAAAAACCTGATAATGGTTTGCTTGATATAAACTAGGAAAGGGGTTTTCATGGATTTGACAATAAAAATGATGAGTACAGATTTTCTTTTCAATTATCACATCGAAAATTTCTTTTGAACTATCATTGCTTTCTTAAAGACGAGGCTCAATTGCATGTAGCATTTCTTTTGTCATAGAATTGCCACATGAACATAGTCACTTATTCCTTGTTTGTCTGCCTATGTGCACTTGAAAGATTTACCACTTGAACCCTGCCTCATAACACAGGACAGTAGCCTGGGGGAAGTTTGGGGGTGTTTGGGCGAACTCTGGCCAAAAAACATGCAGTTTTTTGCCATTCTGAGCATTTTTTAAGTGACTTTTGGCCAAAGATGTCAAAAGTGAACCCCCATGGCAAAAGCTGTTTACTGGCCTGTAACATGTCTATGTATGTGCAATTGGAAAATTGTAGTTGGAAGATCTGGAGAGACGTAAGCAGCAATTAGATGCAGAGAAGGAAGACATGAGGAGGTCTCTAGAGCTCAGTCAGCAACAATGGGACCAACTACTCAAACATCAAAATCATATAAAGGTATATCTTGAGTTCATCTATAGGGTAGAATCATAGAAGGCACATGATTATATAACAATATAGCAATGACATCTCACCTTGTCAGTTGTCACAGGAGAAATTTACCATGATGATCTACTTAGATGATTTAAAAGTATTCAAATATTTTCTCAGCATACTATTATTTGAGTTCAAAAAACATTTATTGTTTAAAAAACATATATTTAGTCTCTTATGGAACAGTTGGTTGCAAAAGTCAACATTTTACCAATTTTTTTAGGAACAGAAACTACGAGACAAGAAACAGCGGGATATAGAAAAGAAGAAAACCCAGGTGAGTGCATTATTTCTCAACATTGCATGGTCGTAGATGTTTGCATTTTACTATGTTTGCATGCTCCCAAGAATGTAGTGACCCCTAGCTCTACTTTATATCAATGTTTTGTGAATGCTTGCATTTTGAGTCTGTAAGATGTATTTTGTACTTGTATTTGTACAATATACAGCTATACAGTATATGCTGAATACACAAATTATAGAGTCTACATGTAGCCTACATTTGTATTTTATATCCAGTAGCACATAAATCTGGTATCTTTATTACTCTAATAGAATTATGCACTTTTGGATAATTGTCTGTTTTCATCCACTGGTATAGGTAATGTAAAATGCTACAGCATATTATGAATCATGCTATTACTTGCGTCGTGCCATGTACAGAGGCTAACTACCATTAAGGCATAATAATCAGTAATAGTCAGTGTGCTGAGGCAAATAACTAATTAAATGTCAAATGACAGAAATGATTAATGTACTGAGGCAAATAATCAGTGATGACCAATATATCAAGGCATGTTAACAGTATTGAAGAAAATGTGCATGTGTTCTGTTGTAGGAGGAGCTACTCAGGTCACAAGAGGAAGCTTTTAAAGAGTTTCAACAGTTGGTGTCTCAGAAACTTGACCATGACATACGTAGGGCTGTCAGTAAGAAAGAGGCCAAAGAGCATGAGGAGTTGAGGGTATGCATCTTGCGTACTTTAGAATATTGACTGGTGGTGGTTTTAGTAATGTGTGTATGATATAACATACACTTATTATACGAGTTCTTGTGTTAGCAACTATGAATTGAGCTTAATACGAATGAGGATACATGTATTTCAAGGCTGATTTAGTCTTACAGTTTGACTTGTGTGTATCAATTATTGAGAAAGGACTGATCGCTGTATGAAATTTTCTTATTACCATATTTACTTTAGACTATGCCCTATAGGTATGTAAATGTACTACAGGAATACATGTATATACATTTAATGTCTGTCAGCTACAAATTTAAGCATTTTGAACCCTTGCTTTCTGATGTCAATAAACTCGCATCCTCCTAATAAATCTGTACCTCCTTCTTCCCCCTGCTATAACCAATTTGGAAGCGCCCGATTAAACTGAATCACGTGATCTTATTATGCGCAATGACTTATACATGATTTCTGTCGCAGTGTTGCGACAGCCAATCAGATTGCGAGTTCTTAATCGGGGAAAGGCTAACTGCTTATTGCAGGGGGTAAAAAGAAAGAATATATTCAGTATTTTGAAGCCCTGTGATCGGAGGATGATAAACTCATGACTTCATAAAAGTAAACACTTCAGGACAAAACTATTTTGTGAATTTGTTATCAGTATCCCATGAATTTAGATACAATTGTATTTAGAACATTTTTGTCTGATGTATTTATTACATGGTTTTGGGCTAAGAGAGTAAAACATATTTTGAATTTTATTTTTTTAGGCCAGAAAGATAAAGAACTATTATTCTCAGAAGAAACACAGTGAGAGGAAGTCAGATTTAGATAGGAGGGCTTCGTAAGTTTGAATTTTCCTTTGATAATGAAGCAGTTGTTGCTATCAAAGGATTTTTTTAATCCCATAATTCCTCTCTGTTCTGGTTTCTGTAAATAGGTAAAATGTTACATCTGTGGAATATACTTCACATATTTGAAAAATATATATGCACATGAAATATAACTATATGTTATGACCTTATCTTGGGGATAAAGTTTGATAGATTTAAATGCTACATTGAAAAATTTACCAAAAATATTTCTTGTTTATTATGTATACCAATTAACGTTTGATATTACATGTACTTCCAGAGAAGAGCTTGCCTCACTTCATGATTCCCTTGATGCCAAACTTACACTTGCTCAGAACAACTATAAAAAAGTTCAACAGACTCAGGATAAACAACTTCAACGACAACAGTAAGTTGGTCATGGTCAACATGTGTCTGTGTATCTAATACTTAAATACGTTTGGAGTAGATGAAGCCCAGGCATACAACTAGCTGGGACAAGGAGTAGATTACATCTGCTGACCAAGCCTTGTTCTAAATTGGAGATTTATTTATTAAACCTTTGAGCAAATGGACGGTTTTTGGTCTTATAACAACGATTACAATAGCATTCTTTGATAACAATAACAATTCATTTTTGTAACGATGATAACAATAATGATGGACAAGTGAGCAGAATGTACAAATTGAGATTCAAGGGAAACAGCCCTTTATAATTGGTGTTCTTTATTACTACAGGCATGATAGAGTGCTCAAACACAGGAAGACTCTTGCCACTAAGGGGCAAATGGAGGACGAAATGGAGGCCTGGCATGAAGACTTGCTTCAATATAGACAACTGGTGGGTGCTAGCATGTTTTCAATATGCTGTATACATGTATAAATGACACAGCTGGCTTCATTTATTATAGATTCTTCAAAACAATTAATGGGTCCCTCTCCTCAGTTGAAGTTCATAGATATATTGTGCAAAGGTAACTCTCTCATTGTGGTTTGTGAAAAGATTCCCATACTACTGAAAACTTGATTTTTATCTATACTTTTCAATCTAACATAGAGGTTGTAGTCTTGCCAGATCTGTCTTGCCGATCCATTTTTGGCATCTTGCTTCAATGCAAATAACCTTTTTATATAGATGTCACTTCCAACCTATATCTGTGCTTACTGGTTTAATCGAAATTAAAATTGTATTAAAATAACCAGCCAGCAGGAAGTACAATGCAAAGACATTAAAAATGTACACAAAATTGATTCAGTTCATGTAACAATTATTTCACAATATTTTAGAAAGAAGATGAAGCAGAGAGAAAGAGCCGGAATAGCATTCACCAGAGGGCGCAGCGTGCTTCTGAAGATAGAGCAAGACGAGAGAGAGAACATAGAGAGAAACTGGAAAAGTTAGTGATTTTGTCATCCATATTATTTGTTTTAATGGGAATATTATTAGATTAAGACCCTATTTGCCTTATAGACTTAACTAAGAGTTTGCAGGTATCACCCTGTTGTTTATGGGTGCTATGTTACTTTTAATTAAGTCAGAAATATGATTCATGCTGTAGTGGAAGGCAGATTGTTTTGGAAAAAAATCATTGGTAACATGTAGCATAAGTATTTTGAAATTATTAAACAATATTTGATTTCCTCTCTGCTTTTGTGTTGTAAATATCCTTACTATACATCCTACACTTACAGTTCTTTTCACACTCTTACCTTACACTTACATTTTATAGCTTACACTTACAGTGCATTTTAAGTGTAAATCCTGATTACTAAAAAAATTATTTCACGTTTCCAGGATACAGCAAGAGGAACAAGCCATAAAGCAGGAGCAAAAGGGAGTTATAGCATATAAGGACATCAAGTCAAGGGCCATCCAGGAGGAGAGAGACAGGTCAATACAACAGTCCAGAGCAATGGCACATGCCTCACAACAACTGAGAGAAGAACTGAAGAAGAAATATTCAACAGATTCTTTTGATAAGATGGTTAAACAGACTCAATTGGAGGCAAAGATTGTTGGCAGTACACCAGGGAGAACAAGGACTGCATCAAAGAACACATCAAAGCTACATTTGGGGTGACATTTAAACGATATTTGGGATGACATCACGGCTACATTTGGGATGACATCAAAGCTACATTTGGAATGACATCATAACAATATTTGGGATGACATCAAAGCTACATTTGGAATGACATCATAACAATATTTGGCATGACATCAAAGCTACATTTGGAATGACATCATAACAGTATTTGGGATGGCATCAAAGCTACATTTGGAATGACATCATAACAATATTTGGCATGACATCAAAACAGCATTTGAGATGACATTGTAACAATATTTGGGGTGACATTAATTGACATTTGGGATGACATCAAAACAATATTTTGGATGACATTAAACTGACATTTGGGATGACATCAAAACAACATTCGGCATGACATTAAACCTACATTTAGGATGACATCAAAATAACATTTAGGAAGACATTAAACTACATTTGGGGCGATATTATATATTGATATGTCTTCATTTATCATCATCAAAAGATACCTAAAATCATATCACATTTATATGTAAGATGACAAAAGCATTTGAACTGATATCAAAACATCTTTAATGTGACATGGAATCCAGAGATAATTTCATTTATTTACATTTAAGATGACATTAATATAGTCATTTGCACTACATTTAGGATGGCATAAAAGCAATATACAATTCAAAATCATCTATAAATTGATTTTGTACATGTACAGTTACTACTTAATTATGTACAGTCATTAAAATCAACAGATTATAAATTATTTGACAAATAGACCGTTTGTTGTTTTGTTTATCATATCATATGCAGTATACCAATAAGTAAAAATTGCTTAGTGGAGATTCTCCAATGAGATGTTTTTGATAGAACACACAGAAACTGTTTAACCATTTAAAGGGAAGCATACTGCTGTACAGTAAAACCTGTACAGTACAGTAAAACGCCCTTTGTTCTGCCAAAATTGTTCCACTTGTGAGATGTTTCTACTTTTAGAGATGCTCCACCAAGCAGGTTCTCATGTTTCTCAATCATCTTGTTATTTATGCATAAGATTATTTCTGAATATCTAAAGATGTCTCTGTAATACTGTTTTTCGTAGAACAGAGCTCTCGAACAGAGTAACAACTCATAGGCATTGCCAGGTGCGATGGGTGCGATCGCACTCCCTTCCCCATAACCGATACCAAAAGAACCATGGGATAGAAGAAGAAAACAGCTTTAAAATGCTTTTTATTTGGAGCTTCTAGCTCAAGTTTGAAGGAAGTTGCATCAATTTTTATAAAAAAAATCAAAACAAATCTTATTTTTGGCCTGTTTATGCGACAATCGCAACCCCCTGACTGAAAACCGAATTTTTTATCGATCGCACCCCTGACTTAAAGCTAGCTAAAGCTGACTAAAGTTTGCCCATGTGCTGTACTTCTACCTTATTTGGTGCTACTTGATTTAGCATACTTGCAATATTGAAATATATATACCATACAAATTTAGGATTGCAACATGAAATATTGAATTTGGCGCCTATTTAATTTGACTGCTGACTTTAACAATTTGGTGAATCTGCCAAATTAAAACAGCCGCCAGATTAAGTAGAAGTACACAAATCGTTTGAGACTAGCACTAGCACATAATTCTGATATTAATAATATCAGAGTCCCTCTTTAACATACTTCAAGGGATTGGATCGCACAATGCTACAATCCGCGTCAGTTTGCATAATGTTATTAGGCATAGTCAGTCTGTCTGAGTAGAAATTAATAGCCTATTGTTTTGTCCATGATCTCATTTGAAAGCATGTCATACAGACATATATAAGGCAATATTTTTATCATGTTCTATTGTATATCTCTTTTAGTCCCTGATTTGTCATAACTATACAATAACAGTCAATATGTGTCACTTTATATTTAATTGATTTGTCATCATCCAAGTTCAGTATGGCTATTACAGGGTGTTAAAAAAAACGCAACCCAAAGAAATTGCTATATCTTGAAAAATACTGGTTCAATCATGTTCAAATTTTCAGGAAATAAAGAAGAGACTGTGTATGTATAGCTCCTGTAAATGGTTAGTTGTAAAACATGATGCCTTGGACACCTGCTCAAAAGACGGTTGTACGAGGAAAATACGAAAAACGCAGTCAGGGGTGACTGCAACCGCAAAAAATTGAATAACTTCCTAACCATAGTGTTTTGGCTCTTCAAATTTGGCACAAACCATCTTCATTCACTGTATGGTAAATCTGTAGAGTGAAATCAAAATCACTTCAGGGATTTCACTGTCATGGTTGAAATGCTTTCAAATCACAGTCAAATGACCTGGTTCAGGGAGACTTAACAAGGCATTTTGACCATGACTGTAAAGTCCCTAGAGTGATTTTGATGAAACTCCACAAATTTACCACACATTGAATGAGGATAATTTGTGCTAAATCTGAAGTGCCAAAACACCATGGTTAGAAAGTTATTTGGTTTTATTGCTGTGGCAGTCACCTCTGACTGCGTTTTCATATTTTCCTAGTACAACTGTCATTTGAGCAGGTGTCCAAGGCATCATGTTTTACAACTTACTGACAACAGGAGCTATACATACACAGTCTCTTCTTTCTTTTCCTGAAAATATGAACATAATTGAATTAGTATTTTCCAAGATATATTGATTTTCCATTCGCGTTTTTCGTATTTTGCTAGTACAACTGTCATTTGAGCAGGTGTCCAAGACATCATGTTTTACAACTTACTAACAACAGGGACTATATATACTTTGGGTTGCGTTTTTTCTTTGAACACCCTGTTGTAGGTATTGCTTAGGATATTAACAACCTCATAATATATAATAATTAATGATTTTAATGATTTCTACTCCCTGATGTATTTTTTTGTAAAAGCAAGACATTTTTGTTTGTATCCCGCTGGGATAGAGACTTGAGTGCTCAATCTTTGATATGCCCTTGATGTACTCAGCTGACGGAAACATGATGATCCACTGGCAAAATACCGTCATTCTTCGTTTGTCTGAAGAACCTGTATTTTAGCCGTAATTTCTACACAATTTAGAAAACTGACTATATACACATTCTTGAAAACTCAACTTTTTGTTTTATGTTATTTATTTCAAAGTGACACTTTGATGTGTGGCTACTTGTGTAAAATGGAAGACAAACACACACAGCGTTTTTAAAACATGCAACGTCTCTGTTTATCTGTCTACCACTGACAACCAATAGAAGCCAGAGAATGATGTCCTAATCAGGGACCTGTCATTTTGGTCAACAGGGCACATCAATTGTGAATATTACATGAAACCATTGTGTTGCTACAATGAAAAAGCAGTCAGGTTGTAGAGGGAATGCCAAGGAGGATTGCCTCCCAGAATGCAATCTCGATAATATTCCAACAATGAAAGTGTCAGAATGTCGTTATTGTCTGAAATTAAATCCAGTTATAGAGTTCTAATCAGCAATCCAAGAGATTCCAGCTGAAATCCTGATCACTTCTTGGGTGTTTTGAATCGGATAATAAGATCAAAACTTGTGATTCAAAATTTGAAGTGAAAATCAGGACATCCTTTAAGATCGGTTTCATTGTTGGAAAATATCGAGATTGCATTCTGGGAGCCGATCCTCCTTGGTAAATGCGATGAGATGGGATACTGCATTGATTCATTAACAATTCTGACCCCGTATACTATCAGACTTTCTATACCATATACTTGACTAGTTTTCAATCAGCTGAGATCTACCAATGTACAATCAATGTGTAAAATACGTCCATATTTTTTCTTATTTAGAAACTTTTTTGGGAAATACATACTAGATTTCGAGAAGATTTTCGCAGGGGGTGCAAAAATCTCCTTTGCAATTCTTCCTGTAATGTAATAAATAAATCTTCATGAGTTTTTGGGACGCTTTTTGCCCACCCTGTAGATGGCATGGTAGATGCGCCTCGGGGACAAATATTTATAGGTACCCCAGGACCATTTTCCATGTTTCGGAAGACAATAATTTGCTGCCAGCGAAATTGAGCTTCTGCCGCTAAAAAGAAATTGGAATAAAATGGCACTATTTGACACTCGTGGTATATGTATTGGAGATAATTCTCTAGAGCATTGCCTTCAACCAAAATATATGTTATGTGTTTTTTCTTAAAGGGAGTGATGTCTTGAAAATGTGAATGATTAATAGTTTGCAAGGGTTTCTGGTATAGTAAGGTATTGGTTCTAATTGAAACATTTTTGAAAGGGATGATATTCTTCAAGTATTGATGGCCGAATTGACATTACTGCGAATTGGATTCGTGATGTAATAGTATCGTCTATCGATGATTGTTCTTTGGGGAATAGACGCGGCATGCGCCGGTATAAGCTTCTGACTTAGGAAATGAACAAATACAGGGGAAATAAAAGTTTGCCCACTGACCCACCAACCAACTCCTATCACTTTACTATGAATGGGGCTTCCGGAGTTTCTAGCGAATAGTCCCACCCGGCGTTTACTAATATTTGAAAGAACTCATGATAAACGCTCATGGGTCTTTATTAAGATATTTTTCATGGTGGTGGGCGTTTATTAAGAGGGAAAATAGATTTTTCAAGTCAATTGGCGTTTATTTGGAGGGGTATTATCGAATAGTATCATGAATGTGGACATGAACGTTGACCAAAATATGTGCCTTTTTGTTATTTTTTTGCTACGTGTACATGTACCTTAAAGAAGTAACAAAAACTTTCCATACCCCGTCTTTCAAATAAACGCCCATGAGCCTATTCGCGAGAAGCTCCGGTAGTTCTATATTGTTCAAGTTTCAAAGTATTAAAATGTTACGTTATTAAGGGTGAATAAAACATAAAATTGTTTAAAATGTTCAATGATTTTTGTTTCACTCAGTCCTGTATTCGTATTCAGTTTTCGTTCAGGAGAGGTGAATGGATTATTACTACACGGTGTATATATTTAGAATTTTATGTTCTCTTGGAAACGTGATTGCCTTAGGAATGGTGATCTTGCAAGACATAAACTGACTATTCTGGGACTTTTATCGAGGTACCGAGTCTCTCGGGTGTCTATCAGACCAGCGGATCCCGAAACACCAACGCTTAGAGAACACGT